GGGGGGGGGGGGGGGGAGGGGGGGGGGGTGATGGGTGGGTCGGGGAGAGGGAGTGTTAATGATGATGGAAACTGTAGAGAAATGAAAGATCGGAGAGTCGCAGCATTTTATTTATGTGTTCTGGAGCTGTGGTGTATTTTTTATTTTTATTTTTTGCACATAAAGAACTTTTCCTCTAATAACGTCTGTAAACTAGATGTTCTCTTTGCGCCCGGTTCGGATTTGCATCGGTTCATCTACAAAATGTCTCAGGCTTAAGCCTCTTCCTGTGTCCCCACAGATGCCGCCGACAGCTTGCCTCTGTCTCGGCCTGCAGCTGGGAATTTGGTGTCATTGTTTTCTGATTCGTGTCTCCGGACGTGCATGGGAGAGGGGCAGTGCTTGGAGGGCATGCCGAAAGGGTGGGGCACCTGGCCATTCTTCTCATCTGAAAAAAGTTGGGTTAATTATGTCAAATAAGTTAGCCAGTGTCCAATACAGGCACACAAATGTGGGGAAAATATAGGAAGAACAGGGTTCACTGGAGGACAATGGGGACCAATGCTAAGATGGAGAGAGCAAAGGAGCATTCGATGACCAAAGAGAATGATTCCACGGAAAAGTCGTTACGCCGCATATGCCAGTGACAAATGAGAGTCCGCTTCTGACAGGCACCGTATAAAATACACTGCATTTGTTGTATCCAAGATTAATGTTCGCATGGAAGTCCAAACGGTTTTTATCAACTGTGAGCTGTGTAAAACATAGGCCTAAATCATATCAATCATCTGGTCAGCTGTTTTATTTGTCGGTGCGATTTTTAATATGTAAATGAGTCAACACACATTGGCTACACAGCAAGTAAGAAAAAAAAGTGTATGTAGGATTTTTTTTTTTCTATATGAAGATTATTTCAGCAACTGCAGTAGGAACCCCAAACATCGGAAATGAAGGAAGGATAGTCATGGTCATTAGTTACTGTGTCATATCTTTGGAAAGTCAAAAACACACATCATTGAGCTGCTGTTTGTAAGAAACAAGAGAACATATGCTGGCAGCATATTTCATGTATTTGCACATATATTTAGCAAACTGTTCTGCAAAAGGGTAATTTGTTGTTTGAAAACTGTGAGTCAAATAAGCATAATTAACAAGGATTATCATTTGCTCTGTGTTTTTGCCAGAATGCCTCTGCATGTGGACTTGAGAATGTGCCAGATTTGGCTTAAATGTGGCACGTCATATTTTCACAGGCCCCGAATAACACTTAGTTTGAAAACTGAGTGAACTCCCTGTACCTTAGCACAATCAGGACAGGCTGACCCCTACCTGCATGACTGTGGATGTTATTACTGTGGAACTAAAACTGCTTTCATTTCTATTCATTGTGTGGCAACCTACAGTCATAATAACCTAATCCAATGTTTGCAACCTAATGTGACCCTTCCAACAACTCAGTCTGGTAATGAGCTAAACAACTCTAAAGATCAAAAACTGATAAGCTTAAGTTTTTTTTTTTGTTTTTTTTTTTTATGTTAGAAAACTTACTGGAATACAACACTGACAGCAAATTGCTAATGAGAACTGGAATCACTAAAAATGAATAAAAAAGGCTCAATGCAAATAAAGAGTTCACTTCTGACAAATGTAGTGGGTTATAGAGCAAATATCTACTAAAGTATCAATGTGGAGTAGGATGTGTCCAATATTTTTATATTTTACACGAGATGAAACTGTTATTTGGGAGGGGGAAAAAGCACTTTCTAGCTGATTAACGCAAGTATATCTGTAGTTTCACTGCTGACCAGAAGATGGGGGTATTGCAAAATAAATAACACAAACAGAGGTGACTCACAAGACAAAAAATTCTGAGCGGAAGAAAAAATAAGATTCCTGTGGCTTTTTTTTTCCTATTCTCTTCACCTTCCACTCCATGCATTAGGAGAACAGTTGAGAAACAACAAACTGTAGCAGCCTTGAGACTAATGACACAAAGGAGGTAATAACCAGAATGTCAATAGGTTATTTAAAGCCTTAAGACACCAAAAGAGGCCAATATGAAAGAGACTGTCGGGGTGTCTTATTTGGATGCACTAAAACATCATAAAAGACAGGCGTGTCTTATCAGGCGTGCTGCTCTCTGAATTCTGGGAGTGTGTTGAGGCACAGCAGTGTTGCCATGGCAGCAGGCATGGACGATCAGTCTATAAAATAGGAATAACCAGGAATAACCCAACGCCAATCAACTTAATCTACCTCTCTTTTAATCTTTAATCTTCCATGGCAACGTAAGAATACTTTGGCCTGCAGTCGGCGCTTCAGAGCAACCTCACACCCCTTAAAGTCGGTGAGGCACAGGAAGCCGTTTGAAGAAGCAGAGTACAAGAGCAAAAAGAAGGGCAAGATCTAACTTGGCTTCAGATGTGAGTGGTTTGTTAAGGGATGGCATAGAAAGATGAGGCGGTAGGGGGGAATTTGGGAAGGAGATTTAGGGAAAAAAGGTATTTCTTCATCTGAAATAAACATTTTAACTCACCAGAGAGTTGTTGGACCCCAGGCTGTTCATGTGTGCTTAACAACTGGCTCTGAATCGTCTCAACTACTCGCTTAAAACGCCGGCTTGGACCTGCGCACAAATACGGAAAATATTGGTTCAGCTCCGTCACTCAACTACAGTAGGAAATCAACAGTGAACAGAAAAGCATAACAGCAGCACCTTTCTCTGAGTGACATGTAGCTATCATGAATACACCTGTGGTTTCCAAAGCAATGACAAGTCAAAACGTGTGCTCATTTGAGTCAGGATTCAATATTAACAGCATGTCTACTGTTTGAGCCATAAGATATAGATGCAGAATGACAAAAAGAGGAATATATGTATTTGCTAAATCCCATTGTGTAGAGTGACATTCAGTTGTGCTGGATGGAAGTTAGCCCATATATTTAGCATACAGGAGCAGTCAGACATTAGATGCTGTAGGGGTATTATTTGGGCTTTTCATTATTGTTTTGAAAGGTTATTTTATTAGGGTGGAATGATAACACAACTTCAGTGAGTTTTTATAGCAATAATTAGGTGCACAAGCTATAACTGGCATTGTGTCATACATAGAGTAGAAAACTTTTATTGTTCCACAGTGGGGGAAGTCGGGACAAAAACGAAACTTGTTGAAAAATTTAATCTTAAAAGACAAAACCCAGGAATGAGTGGCAGCTGCTGCAACAGGCTACCTGCTCATACAGCGTAGGAAGTTTAAAAGAAAGAAGACTAATAATAAACTACTGGAAGAGTACAGACCTCAAAACTACTAAAAATGTATGAATTACGGCTAAAAGCAGAGCCTGTACCAGAAAACCAACCAATTTAAATAAGCTTCATCATGTTTGGTACAAAACATGTTTAGACTGATCTGCTAAAGAGGCATTTATCCTACCACGAGAGGGAAATATTTGAGCCTGTATCGACTCTTTTTGATTAATAGAAATTGATTGTAATGCAAACCTATCCATCCGATTCTTCCTCTACAATTCAAATGTATTCCCACCATTAAACTATCCAAATACATCTTTAGCTTTTCTACTTTTCTGTGTTTTTCATAAGATTGCAATCATACATAGCTGGTAACTGAACCAATACTCATCAAGGTGAAAGATTCCATCTCCTTCGCTGAACCGCAGCTCTGAGAATCAAACTACTGTAGTTGTACTTGATTGAGTGAAAGAGACTAAAGGGAGTGAAAGAAAGCGTACATCCGTTTCTGCACAACTAAGCATTCACACATGGCTGCTCGGTATGTAATCTTGCATTGCCAGACCTCGTTTCGTTACGCTTAGGGAGGTAAGAAGAAAATCTTATCGAGCACTCGGGGCGGCAGAAACTCCAAGAAACTCTCAGGCAGTTGCTCATTTTGGCAGCAAAGTTTGAAAACAGCCCCATCCAAACAAAAAAACAAAAAACAAAAAAAAACATACATTTTAGTTTTATGTGTTTGCTACTTTGAAAAAGTCCATTTTGATGCCATTAGTCTGAAGTGTGAAAGCATTCCACTTGAAGTGTAAGTGGCAGTGTTACAGGTTTCACAAAATTTGATTTGGAAAAATTAGATTTTTAAAATTAGATTTTTAGAAGTCTAAAGATGTGGGAGGAAATAGGTTATTTAAGAATACCCTACTAGTACGTACGCCTCCACAGGCTCTAGCTGAGCCTTAATATGGATTTCCTGTACCAGTGATTTTTTTTTTCTCATTGCCATTCTCTCATAAAACGTTGTACTGATGAAGATCCTGGGAAAAAGTTGTGTAAAGAGTCTCTCCCATTTCAGCTGCTAAAGCTTGTAACTCCTTCAGTGCAGTCACAAGTGTGAC